GAAGACTAAAGATGAATGCATGAACTTTATCAGATGGTCATTAAAAAATAATGAGCATGTCAAAAACATTGAAGAAGTCTTTAAAAAAGGAAATCTATAGATAGAGATAGACTTCGACTGCAAGTATGGCAGAAGTGAGGCAATACAAAGAATTAGCAAAAAAGAAAGTAACTGGTACAGAATGATCACAAAAGAAGAAAAAATAGACAAGAAGGGAAAGGAGAAAATATATGACAAAAAATATCAGAAGGAAAGAAATAATATATTAAAATTTAAGAAGAAGGAATATAAAGAGCAAGAAAATGAAAAAGAATCTACAAAAAATCAAATAGATACAAAAGAAAAAGAGAAAACATGAAAACATAAATATATAAGAATTTGGGATCTACTAGCAGACATAAACAGAAAAGAAATCAAGTATATGTGCAGAAGATTCAAGAAAGCACATATAACAAGAATTAAGAGATCCAAATACAAGTCTCTCATGATAGTACAAGTAAAAGAATTAGAAGAAGAAAACATACTATGGTCTATACCAGTTAATAGTAACAAACTAGTAAAAGTAACAGAAGGTGAAGAAAATTATGAAGAAAGACAAAAGCAAAGTCAGTATATAGCAAAAATAACAGATTTGCCAAGCAAGGTCTCAGAAGTTTTGCTGCTATGCTGCCTAAGAAGCAAAGGTACAAAATCGGTATACATTTCACCAAACAGAAACAGAAATCAAAGAAGAACAGCAATAATTACATTTGTGACAGAAAAAGAGATAAAGGCAGCTCAATCAAAGCCAATTAGATACAACAATTTTCAAGTATCCTGGCTAAATAAAAGAAAGAAATAAGAAAAGAAGAAAGAGGTAGAGAAGGACAAGATAGAAGCTAGGAAAGAGCTAGCCAAAATCTAAACAAAAGATATATAGGAAAAAGAAGGAACTTTCAAATACAAGATACAAAAGAGCAGTTAGGAGATAGAGACACTATAGATGAGGAAAGCTGGGACAAAAACAAGCAGGTATCAGATAGAAGATACATCAAAATAGAAAGTGATTACCAGTTACAGAACATAGAAGAATGGTTAGAAGTCAAAAACATTAATGCAGAAAAAAATGATAGAAATATTGAAAAGAAGACAAAACTAGATACACAAGTACATATAGAAACAAGACAGATAAAAGAAGTCTTAGGCCAGATCTTAGACAGACTTAATCAGTTGGAGGATACTTAGCTAGATATAAACAAAGACCTAGCTAATCACTTCTGAGGGTGTCCAAGTTGAACTCATGAGCATGGATAAGGAGATTAAAGATTTTCTGCATAATGAGAGAAGAACATTCGAAAAAAGAAATAGAGAGGAATCTCCTAATTCAAAGAAAGAAAAGAAAAGAAAAGAATAAAGCAGAAAACATGGAAACAAGATACAAGCAACTAAAAAAAATAGAAAAAAGAGAGAAAAGAAATAAAGATTGTATGTCACAATATTAACAGACTCAAGACCAAAGGTTAGAAATTAGAAAACCTGCTAGACTGAGCAGAAGAAAAGAAGATAGCATTTTTGGGAATAACAAAAACAAACATTGTAGAAAAAGAAGAAAAGATTTTGTTGTATAACCTTAACACAAGATTTAAAGGTTTTTGGGCAAATGCAACATTGGACAAGAAAAAAGGATCAGGCATTGGAATCCTAATAGATGAAATCTGGAAAAAACATGTTGGAGCAGTCAAAAGACATAGTGAATATATGATAAAAGTAAAACTATACTTCAAACAACTGTACTGATAATAATAGGAGTATATATTCTACCAAATGACAAGGCAATTAGCAAGAAAGTACAACAAAAAATTGTAGAAATAGTAACAAACAAGAAAAAGCATACAGAAATAATTATACTTGGGGATTTCAATCATACAGTAAATAATATACTAGATAGACTGCATCTACAAACAACAAACTATAAAAAACTGCTAATCTTCAATTGGCTTAAAAGGCAAGACTTTGCAGACTTTTTCAGAAAGTTGCATTCAACAGAAAGGACATACACATGGTCAAGTTAAGAAGCAGCAACAAGAATTGATTATATCTGGTTGTTAGAAACAATCACAGATGGTCTTCAAGAAGCCAACATAGAAGAAGCAGAAAGCATAACAAGCAGTGACCACAAAATAGTTATAACAGTTATATGGTTAGAACACATAATTGTGAACTAGAGCTGTGCAGAAACCAAATATAAAGTCCAAATAAGAATGATGTATCTGTATAAAGAAGCAAAACAATAAAACTAGAAAGAATTTGCCAAAGAGCTTCAAGTACAACTAAAGTGAAAAAAAGCATTGAAGCATTTAGAAGAAGAAAGAAGAAGCAGTGAGTATTGTACAGATATGCTAGACTCTATATGAAATGCAATAGAAGAAGCTATAATAGATGTGGCAAATAAAAAGATTTCAAAAAAGAAAATATTCAACATAAGAACAAACAAAAGACATCATCAGAAAAAGCCACAACAGCATAAACTCATAATTGAATTACAACAAATAATCAAAAAAGCAAAAATAAAAAGAAATCAAGAGATAGGAAAAGAAGAGAAAAAAGAGATAAACAAGAAACTTATAAACATCGGTAAAGAAATAGAAGCAGTGCTACCAAAGCTACACAAACAGTGGTCAGAAGCTTGAATAGATGATATAAAAGGCTGGCAAAGAATTTTAAAAGACGAAAGAAAAAAAGTGTAGGAACAAGCTTAAAGAAAACAAATAGAAAAAAATATAAATAGAAGATGTGAAATGATAAAAACTGATCAAGGATGAATGATTGCTAGCCTTCTAAACAAACCATACAAAAAGATAGTCTTGGACAGATTTATAACACAAAGCACAGAAGAAACCAGTTTAACAACAGAACCTAAGGCTGTTTTAGATGGCCTAAAAAAACATTTTGGAAATCAATTTAAAAAGTGAAAAACCAAACTAGAAGAGATGCCCAAAGAATGGATAGAAGTATATAACCCAAAAGTAGTATTCCACAAAAGATTTGGGTTCAGTCCAAGTCTGGTCCAGTCTGTTGACAGACCGAGTTCAGACACATGATTTATAAGAATCGATACGGTTTCGGACCTATACAAAAATCTACCCAGGTAATACCTGACCCGCCCGGTCCATTAAATATTGTACACTGATTGGATAGCTTTTGTTTTTTATTAACACTTTAAAAAAGCACTTACATAATTGTGAAATGCAATTTTACCAAATTTTGTATTTTGGCACCTATCGATTGCTAGTTATAGCGAAAAAATGGTTAAAAAAGGTTAATCCTTGTATCATGAAATTGATAGCATTTTATATAAACTACTGTTTTGTGCTCTTGCTCTTTAACTTATAGAGCTCTGGTAGAGCTCAGGTAGAGCTCAGGTAGAGCTCAGGTAAGAGGGTAGATACTTAACGGGACTTGGTAAATTTTATGTATTTGATACTGATTTGCTAACAAAAATTGTTAGTTTAATGTAGATTTTGAGACAAGATTTTATTATTTTTGCTTTTTTTTTGTTTTTTACTTTCAGATTTTTTACCATCTAGATGAATTGATAATCGCTAAAATTAAAGAGCTGCAATGTTTTTGGTTCACTAAGCAATCATTTATCATTGATTCAATGTATTAATAAGATTGATTTTCTGGTATTATATCACTCTGAAGTTTTAGTAGTGGCAAAAATAATGCTAACTATCACATTGTTTTATTTAATTCTATAAATATATAGAATCGAAGTAAAACAATTTTGATCTGATTTAGTTATGTGGTTATCTTGATATTGCTAATGCTATTATTATTTTCCCCCATCTGAATTTGCGCTTAAGTACTACATGACTAACCAATTTACTATTCTTTATAAAGATAATCACTTCTACTAAATTTTCTCATTACCAAAAAACTAAATAAAGTTAACAATAATAATTTTATATATTTATCAGTGTCAATAAAGTAACCGTCTCGCCAAGTTTCCATTTTCACCCTATCATATTAATAATATTCATCGTATTTGTACTTATATCATGCCCCCCTTCAGTATTACCCTAATCCTAATACCCTAACACAAGGCTTACTAGATTTGTGCAATGGTTTTTCTTATTGAGTTAGAATAACAGAACAAACAAAGGATGCCATTTGCATTTTTGTTTAAAATAACAATATAAGACCTATAATGTGATTCAAAAAAAAGGCAGAAATCTATATTTAGCAAGTGCCTGCACATAAACCTGCATTTTAAAATTTTTATGTAAAACTTGCATTTTTTCTTTTTAGAAAAGTATAAGAAAAGCATGAAAAAAAGCTGAGAAAAGCTTGTGAAAGCTCATCCGAAAAAAACTTTATGGTTTTTTTTTTCAGGAAAAAGCCTGCACTTAAAAAAAATACCTTGTGTTTAGATGCATTTTAAATTTTTTTTTTTTTTTTTTTTTTATTCTTTTATTAGCTCTGTTATGATTTTTTTTTCTTTAATTACAGTATATATTAAATAATACACATTTAGAGGAAGTTGCTATATTTACTTAAATCTTGTGCTTTAAACTCCCTCATGTCAACTGAATCATATTTTCAAGATGAATCTGAAGAACGTGAGTCATTATTCCAGTGCCATGGTAAATTTTACTCGGATGATTTGTACCTGAACCAAGATGAATTGTACCAAAATGAATCCCAAGATGAATTAAATCCTGATGAATCTTATCAAGATGAATCGTGTCAAGATAAACCACAACAAGATGAATCCTGTCCAATCGAATCATCATCCCAAGCAGGACCAACTGGTGATGAAACCTCTTCAAATAATGGGTAATATATGCAAAGCTTTACTTTTAATATTCTTTATTTATTGACTTCTTATTTCTTTATTGAATTTTAATTTATATTTTATAGATCCATAGTATGGAAATATTTTAAAAAAATGAAAGGCAGTGCTACATGTGATATTTGTAAAAAGCCGCTGGTCTATAATGATGGTACAACATCAAATCTTCTAAGACATCTCAGAAGGCATAAGGTGCCTGAACTAGTGAAATCAAACGCAAAGAGGGGTGTTAGTGTTTTAGAAATGTTAAGTAATTAAGTCTGTCAATATGAACCCTTCAGCCAACAAAAATTTATTGGCATGATAAAAGATGGATCGTAAAACATAATCGATCGTTTCAAATTGTTGAAGATGATGAACTTAGGTCTATATTTACTTACTTAGAACCTACTACAGTTGGTAAAATAGCATTAGATAGTGTATTTAATGTATTAATATTATGGTAAAATATAAATATTTAAAAGAGTTTTTTTTTTAGTACCTTCTGCTGACCTAATTAAATGACATATTATAAACAATTTTGAGGGAGAGTGTGAATGACTTCAAAAAAAATTGCAGGAAGTTTCTGGACATATCGCAATAACAACTGATATTTGGACCACTTCTACTAATGAAAAGTCATTCATGGCTATTACGATTCATTATCTAAATCAAGCATGGAAAATAAAACATATTCTGCTTGATTTTATTTTTATGAAGGATTTACATACAGATGTTGAAATTGCGAAGGCTATAGAAAACTGTCTTCAAAAAAATGGAATACTATCGAAATTAATGTCAATAACATGTAATAATGCATCTGTCAATATAAAGTTCTTGTATGATTTTTCTCATTCTATACTAATGAATGATTTTAGGTTTGATTATATATAGCACAATATGGTGCTTTAATCATATTTTAAATCTTGCTGTCCAGTGTATTTTAAAGATTGTAGGAAATGAGATAGAAAAGGTTATTGTTATACTAAAATTTTAATGATTTTGTTATTCTGTAATAGATCAAAATGTCTTGTTATGCTAGCATGTATTAAAATGTTTTCCTTGTGTTAATTCTGAATAATATCCCAGTGAAGCCCAATATTTATAGTTTTATTTTTACTCACATTACTTTTAGTTACGTGGGTTAATAAAAAGTATTAGAGGATTATGAAAGCACTGCAAACAGTTAAAGCTATCTAATATGTTAAAGCCAATTCTTGACGTAGCAACACGATAGAATTCCACCTATTATATGTGTAAGCGTGCATTAAAACTTTATATGGTGTTGAATGCTATGTCTTATGCTGAAACAGAATTACATCAATATATTTTGGTCGAGGATGAATAGAAAAGAATAGAACTTTTTGTCGAAATTTTATTACTCTTTAAGGATGGTCAGTGTATTTTAGGATGAGATATAATTCAAAAAAAAAAAGTATGAATATACAAAAATATTTACTTTACTCTTTAATCCAATTTAGCGATCACATTTATGTCATCATCAGAATATCCAATACTGCCATTGGTCATTTCCCTCTATTATTCATTGCTTAAATCACTTGAAGAAGCTAGACAAAAAGGTCATATACCAGAATGGCTTAAGAAAGGGTGTGAAGCTGCATCTAATAAACTTCTAGAATATTGCCAAAGGACAAGTGTTTTGCATATTGCATCAGTTATACTAGATCTATGGCTTAAATTTCAATACTTTGAAGGACTTGGATGGTCATCTCAACTTATCAAACAGATTACAAATATGTAAGTATTTTATAATATAAAGGTGTGATTAGAGGTTTGATTGGTAAATCTAGTTATTTATTTAATTTATTTTAATAACTGGATGCCAATCAAAAAATTTAAATGAATATTCGATATATCTATCGAATATTCATTGAATATATGAGTACTGCCAAAGAAAAACCTGACATTGAATTTTCAATTATATTTTGTGTCCAGTTTGCCATCTAGAAAAAATCTATCATCGGGCTTCAATTATATTTATTGAAAGCCTGATAACAGATTGTCTTTAGTAGAGATGGGCAAGGTAATTACTTATTACATAAAAAATCAAATCACATTATGCAATAATTTACTAATAATATATACTTACAACTAATAACATGCTAAATTGGCACATAGTGTGATTTAACTTTTTACATAATAAGTAATTACCTTGCCCATCTATAGTCTTTAGATGACAAACTGTACACAAAATATAATTGAAAGCCTGATGTCAGGTTTTCTCTTGGCAGTACTCATATACATTAATGCTATATTAATACTATTAAAGCTATAGCATCTGTCCTAGTTTTCTTATTTTTTTTCAGTTTGTTTCATGTGATTTTGGTATATAATATCTTGGTAACAGTTGAAGGCAGCCGATCATAGAAAGAACAAACTTATTGCATGTGGCAAAGGTTCATTGAAAGCATACACTTATCTAAGTGATTGTGAGAACCTATAGTAAGATAAATAGATAAACAGATACGAAGAAATACATTTGTCAAGCAAATCATGAGGAGGAAACTTAACATATGATAAGTAGATCTGAAGAATAATCGTCTGAATAAAGCATTTAAAATTGATTAAGATAATGTACTTGCATTAACAAATGGTGATGCGATCCATTATTAATTGGATAGATGAATCACTAGCAGAATAAAATAAATCAATGAAGTACTGCAGAGACATTGAGAACTGTGGGACAACTTGTTGCAAGATCAATGGTCAGATATTATGAATTCCTTGCAGATTTAAATAAATCATTAAAAATTGATCACTTGCAGATTTAAATAAATAATTAAAATTTGATCAAAATAATACTGTATATTGGCATTAAAAAAAAAAAAATTTTTTTTTATGAATGAGTACGAAGAATCTCTAAGCTTCAATAAATTATTGGAAATAGAACCATATAATGCATCTATATTAAGAAGCTGTGGAGTAACTTATTAGTAGATAAAAAAATATGATGAATCAATCGCAGATTTAAATATCATTAGAAATTAATCCAAGAGTGCTCTTACATTATAGCCGTGGGGAAACTTATTGTAATATATAAACTATATGTAGGTTTAAATCGGGAAAGTATTCAACCAATAAGACCAGTTAAAGTAAACAGGTTTAGGATTAATAATATTTATATTATTATTATAATTTGTTATTGAGTATTCATTGAACTTGATTAATGAATATATCTAAGTGTAATAATAAATAAATTAATTTATATAATATTTTAATTAAGTATTAAAGATAAATATGAAGATCAATATGCACCTCTTTTCAATCAGGGAACAGAAAGTACAACTGTAGAACCATCTCAAAGTATAATATCATAAATCTATAAATGAACACATACAGATATTTTAGAATGGTGATGAGTGAATAAAAGCAGTTATCTGAATCTTGCTAAATTTGCTAGAAATTGTCTTTCAATACCTGCTACAAGCGTTCTAAGCGAACAAACATTCAGCATTAGTGGTGATATGTTAACTAATAAACGAAATCGATTGGATAAAAAAACCGTACGAGCAGCAATGTGCTTGAGATTATGGTTGAGAGAGCTAGAAGATTAAAATTTTATATCTTAACTGACTAATTAAATCATTAAATTCTTTTTTTTGTTTTTTTTTTTTAACTGAAGTTATAAATATGGTGATATGATAAATGTCTATTATCTTTATTTTAAAATATTTATTATTTTTTTTTTGCTTATATGCATTTATGCCATTATCACTTGATCATATGAATTACAATTCACAATGATGTATAGTCAAACATTTTATAATCACTGTTTTTTGTATCCCAAAGGTGTGACTGTAGAGGGGCTTGACTGTAATTGATTTACTTAATAATTTCAAACAACCCACTAAATGTTGGGTATTTCTTTTTGTTCTTATTTTTTGCTCTCTTATAAGTACTTTATTAATATATCATTTATTTTTAGAGTTTACTCAATTTTTATTGCACGTACTATGTATACCTGTTTACTGGTTTTCGCAAAGTCACACTAAATTGCAAAATTAAACTTATTAAATTTGAATCTTTTATGTCGAAGCTATGATAACTAATATTTCAGATAGATCAAAGAATATCCAAAACATATTTATGTATTTAGTAATGCTTTACAGTAAGTAAATTTTATTAATGTCTGCAAATTTTGAATTGTATCAATTTATTATTTATAAATTGTGCTTTTTTATTTGGGTGTTTTCTAATAATGCTAGTAAATCATCTCAATGAGTTATAATGAAATTTGGCAAGTTAAAGTTGCAATTATAGCAAAATAATATGATTCTATTGTGCTATAAATGAGCTATGCTTTAATTATTACTTTTAAAATAAAAAGTTTTTTGGTGGCATATTAATCAGCCAAAGTAATTTATTTGCTCCAATTAAAAAATTCTAATACTATATAAGTATGAAATAATGCTCATGAACATTATTTTGAAAATCAGGTCTTTCAAAAATAATTTATATGGTCTCAAATTAGCACGCATGGCATCCTGAATTAATGTGCATCCTAATATAGCACATAATTTACTGTTGCAGATATATAGTCGATATTCTATATATGTACACTCTATAAGTGCACTTTCACTATAATGATAAGTGCACATAATTTGATCAGTCTAATGTAATTATTTAATATTATTCTGCATAATAAAATTTTATAAATGCATGTTTATCTAACAACATGCATTCATTGAAGATTGACTATATTGAATTTAGAAAATCTTCTATTAACGCGTATTTAAAATAATGTGCAGGTTAATTAATTAGTATGCACATGGTCTATATTTGAATAGTTGATTGTACAACTATAATTCTCTTTTAAAATTTCATGGATCTGAACCGGATCCAGATCTGTGTGATATGGGTTCGGACTCTAAGTTTAGATTCGAATTATATTTCAGACTGAATCCAGATCTTTAAAAATATCCACCCGATATAATTTATGAGGAACATTACCCAAAAGTGTGAATTAAGGAGTTCTGGTATGAGAAGCTAGAAGAAAAAATAGAAGAAGAGGAATGGGAAGACATGTTAAGAGAACTTAAAGCCAACATAGCTCCAGAAATTTTAGGCATAAGCTACACTTTAATAAAACAAGCAGAAAAGAAATCATAAAAGATTTTTAGAGTCTTCACAAATCTGGTTTTAGAAACAGAAGAAATGTCCAAAAAGTAAAAAATAGTGCAAATTTATCCAATTTCAAAAGATGTAGACTGGGAATATAATTTGAACAATATTAGACCAATAGCATTAATTGAAACCTTTAGAAAACTAGTCACAAAAGTGGTAACAAGAAGGCTAGCCAAGATATTCACAGAAAGAAAAATACTCAAAGGACCAAATTACATAAGCTTGCATAGCAACTCTACAGAACAACCAATACATATGCTAAACATAATAATAGAAGAAGTATAAGAGAAAAATAAAGAAATATGGATATTTCTACAAGACATGAAGAAGGTATTTAATGCAGTCTTATTGAAAAGCTTAGAGTTGGTACTTAAAAAAGTTAAAGTACTACAAAGAACAATAAGATATATTATTAACCTTTTTTGTAAATGCCAACTTAAGGTAATTACAGCCTATGGCCTAACAGAAGAAATAACAGCAAGAGATGGTATAGATCAAGGAGAGGTAATTTCTCCACTCATTTGGTGACTTTTCTACGATCCACTGTTGGAAAAAATTTAAGAAAATAAATCATTAGGCTATGTAATAGAGCAAGAAACATTAAAAAATGCAAATATTGACTATATTACAAAATATAGACATGCAGTAATTGCTTATGCAGATAACACTACATGGATCACAAATAGCAAAAACCAATTACTTAGAATTCTTAAAATCGCAGAGCAGTTTTTTAATGCAAATGATATTGAAATAAATGAAGCAAAGTTAAAGCTTATAGTGATAAACTCAAGACTAAGAAAGAAAGATAAAGAAATTGCATTCAGACAGAACAGAATAACAGAAGAACCAAGAACCAAAATTGTAAGATTGGCTAAATAGCAGAATGAAAGAGTCACTAGTTTGCAAAAAAGCAAAAGAAATAGTTAGCCAAACAGTTAAAGACCTTA